CCAAATTTTTTGGTGTAATAGCATTTTAAGTCCTTTTTAGTTTAAATATTAATTAAATAAGACCTTTGTTCCTCTCCATTTCTATATTTAAATACTTCATTGAACCTTGTTCTTTCATTGTAAAGAAAATTAGTCCCTCCCAGTGTTTGATCTTAGCTCCGTCACTAGTTACAATTTGGATTATAATTTAAGTTCTTAAGGATAACTAAAAATATTTTTAAAGTATCTATTATTAAAAAGATAAAAGATATTAAAAATATTAAAAATTATTAAAAATATTGATGTGAGATGAATCATTGTCTTACGACATCATTTGAAAACTTTTAAAAATTATTAAAAATATTAAAAATTTATTTAAAAAAAGATTTAAATTATTTTGAAAATTATTTATTTCTCTAACGTATAGAGAAACAATAAAACTTTTAAAATTTAATATGCATAAGAAAATAAGTGCAAGGACTCATTTTCATTTGAATAATGTAAAGTAAGGATTAAATTGAATAATTTCAAAGCTAGGAAGGAAGTTTGAGAAGATTAGAGACCATAGTGAATGAAGACTAAAAATGGGAGGCCAAACTGTGAAATCTAAAATAATATAGAGTCGTGTCTAAAAATTACCCTTAAGTTTAGAGTATATAAATCATATATATGTTTAGTTTTTTTCATTTTTGCATCTTCCGTCGCCGTTTGCTCTATCCCCTTTTCTCTCCCCCTTTTCCATGGACGAAGCTCCGTTTGATTTGCTCTATCTTCGTTCAACCGTGTTCCATGTGAAGAGAACTATTTACTGTTCAACCAGTGTTACCATCTAGTTGACGTTGTCCCTCCTCAGAAACAGATCTTATTCAAGGCTCTTCATATTACTTCCGCGTCGGCTGCCGAGAATGCTTGCAATGTGGGTTTTATTGTTTTAACATTATTTTACAAGTACTTATTCTAGTAGAGTAAATCAGCAAATTATTAGTGTTCAACACTCCTTGAACTTGCAGCGTTTCTGCAAAGTTATGGTGTTGTAAATTCAACTCACAGTTGGGAAACACTCTGATTATTGAAGGTGACTGCCAGAATGCAATCTCCAATTTTGAATCAAGTTATGTAACCGCTACTCAGATATGTTATCGGCAGCTTCAGATGTTCTTCTTGGCTTTTGTTATGAATGTCCATGTCCTTATGGAATGGGATATCAAACTACAAATAAGGTTGAATGAGATCTTCAGCGATGTGATCAGGTCTGGGAGACTTCCCCTAGGCAAGGTCAGTTAAGTTTTACCATGTCATCTTTTTTAATTTTGTTTCTTTTTTAATCCATGATTTATATTAAAAATCTTCAGACCCTGCACTGCTAGATATTAAAGCTAAAGTCTCCGATGAGGATGTGCTTATTTGAATCCACTACGAGAAACAGAAAGGGTTGGTGGCGAAAATATTAAGCAAAATTGAGAACCTTCATATATAATTGATCAGGTAATTAGTAACTTATATAAGAATTTATTTCTTGGGTTCTTTTAATTCATAACTTGAACAAATAATGAAAGATGATAGCATTTTTTTTTTTTGCAGAGAGATGATGAATTCAACATGATAGTACATGATCTGGTTGAGTTAAGATTGATTGAAGTTCATTGGTCATAAGTCTTGAAGTTTATGTTTTCTTTGTTTTTTTTAATCTTCCATGAGAAATCAAGGTTATTAAATACTCCATCTTTTAGAACGTAACTTGTTTTCATTTTAATTATTTTGTGCGGTTTCAAGTTTCATTGTGGACCACATTCACGGATGCTAATGATCATATCAAGGCTTAGAGAGTTCATTAATATACTGAGTTCTGAGAGAACTTAGAGATTCAATTAACGAATTGAAGTGTATCAAATGTTGGTCTTAAGTTGTTTTACAGATTCCTTGCGATTTGAATCTATTTTTTTTCATGTGTAACTTATTAATGATGCACATTTTCTTGGATGATGTTTCAGCGTTTACATCCAACAGGAAGAAGGTTGTTTGACACTAACGATGGGCTTCGAGGTGGTGTCTGAGAAAGCTATGGCTTGATGTTGGGAAGCTGTGAAAATATGAGATTTTATTGTAATTTGCAAAAAAGAAAAAAAAATGGAGCTTTATTGTAATTTGTAAAAATACAAGGTTTTATTGTAATTTGTAGAAACTATAGGTTATTATTGTAATTTATGATAAGTTTTGTCCTTTTTGTAATTTATAAAAAGTTTTGACCATTATTGTAATTTATAAAAAAATGGCCTTTATTATAATTTATAAAAAGTTTTGGTTTTTATTATAATTCATTAAACATTTTGGTCTTTATTATAATTTATGAGAAAATAATTCTTTTAATTATATCATTTTTATTTTTTTAATAAAAATAATACATTTTTTAATAAAATATTGTAAGGATATATTTTTGTCTTTTATACAATAAAATTTTACATAATTGGTGACAATATGAGTTATTAATGACAAAATTTTATATTATTTAACAACGTAATAAATTGTCACTGTATATAAGTTATATGTGGTGTTATAGGTAAACGTCATCGTATGTTTTAGAAAATGTGACGAAAAAAAGATAGATCGTCACTTTTAACATTTAGTAACACACATAGGGTGACGATCGCCGTGACATCAATTTTATGTCAGAAAATACAATTAGTGACGTAAATGTATGTTTTAGTGACAATAACCTTGATGCCATTAATAAGAAAACTTGTTGTAGTATAATTCATTAAATTTAACCTCCATGTTTATACATTCAATCAATTTACTACTCCTTTCTTCTACATAACCTCTCTCAAATCTTAATCCATCATATATAAGAATTCTACCAATTCATTCCGCAAATGCATCACCTTCATCCCTCATAAATGAAAATATACATGTAATTTTGCAAACAAATAATTGAAAAAAAAACAAGGGTAAACTATGCAAATAGTTCATTTTGTTTAGGGCCTGACCGATTTTGATTACCAATTTAAAAATTAAGGGTAAATGGTCTCTCGCATTATCGATTATGTTGAGTTAATCGATAGACGGAATCGACCAAGAGGGGGGTGAATTGGTAATTAAAAATTTCGGTGGAAGCTTTTGCAGAAAATTGAAAAGATTTGCACAGTGATTTAGAGTGGTTCGACTTTCTCAACCAAAGTCTACGTCCACTACCTTAGCTATCCACACTAAGGATTTTCCAACAAATTCACTAATTTGTTCTTTCTTTTGAGGCCAAAGATATAACCTTACAACACCCTCAAGAATATACCCCAATTCTTGAGAATACTCTTTCTCAAAGAGAATATTACAAATTTGCAAACTTTCAAGGAAATCCTCACAAGGTAAATTGTTTGCACAATTCTAGAACAAAGAAAAGAACACTCAAGAATGAATACAATTGAGTACAAGTAGTGTTCTTGAAAGAAAATGAATATTGAATGAAAAATAGGCTTGAAATGCTCAAACTTGAGGTTTGATGCTTTCTCTTTGATTATCTCTTGATTCTAGTTGGTTGTTGTTTCTTGTTGTTGATCAATGACTTCTAAGCTTGTTTAAATACACCTTCAAATGATTCTGAATGTTGGGGATGATTAGTGGAGTCAGTAGAGCCGTTTAAGTGTGAAAACAATTAATTAAAACAGTTGGGAGTGTCAGTGCATCGATGCATACCCTAGGTGCATCGGTGCATCAGTGTAAAATTCAAATATTTTGACCGTTAGACTCTCAGTGCATCGATGCACTAAGAGTGCATCGATGCATCAAGTGCATTCGATGTTTCAAAATAGCCAGAGTGCATCGATGCATGGCTGGTGCATCGATGCATCAAATGCATTCGATATTTTCATAAAATCCTCAGTGCATTGGTGCATGGTATGTGCATCGATGCATGAAATGCATTCGATGTTCAATTTAATTCATGGTGCATTGATGCATGGATTGGTGCATCGATGCATGGATTGGTGCATCGGTGCATCACTCTGAAAAATTGATTTTAGGCTTGATTTTGGTTCAAAATACTTTGTGAAAATTGTTTCAAAAATATATTAAGTATAAAACACAATTTTACACATTTAGTAAGGTTTGAAATTGATCTTAAAAGACTTAGAGTAATAATTTGATATTCGATTAATTGAATCGAATATACTTAGAAAATCATTTGTAAAATCTAAATTCATTTAAACTAATTTTTTATATCGAAACACAAAAATATTTTCAACAGATTTGTTCGGTTTAAATTCCTCTGCTATAATTTTCGTTAACCCCCTTTTGTTTAAGTCCCTAACATGGTTGATGGACTAAAATTGAACGAAGTTAACAATTGAGGAACTAAAATCGAACGGATCAATAACGTTAGAAACCATTTCCCTTTAATTTTTAAATTGGTGACCAAAATCGATTAGACCGAAAACATAGGGGACTATTCGCATAGTTTACCCAAAAAAATAATGGTTCCTCGTAATATTGATGAAGGTATTATTTGGTCCTAAATATTTATACACTCTATCAATTTAATCTTAATTTTAATTCAATTAAATAAATTTAATCTCTAATTAAATGATGGAACATGTTACTATCAAATTTAAGGATGTTTTCTTAATTTATTTAATTTAATTTGATTTATTTTGTATCCAATAAAGTGGTGATATGTCACCACCTAATTTAGTTCAAAATAAATTAATGAAAAATTATAGTTGATGGGGGTTGTGTTACAACCTTATTTAGTTCAAAATGATATATTTAAGTAAAATGTCCTTAATGTCCACTAATACAGAAATTTCATATTTTCTATTTAGACATAAATGAAGAATGTTTGAAAAGGAAAACTGGGGGGGGATTAAGGATTTAAGTGATGAAATTATTTTGATGAAGAACAAAATGGACCACTTAAGAATGAAAGTTATATGTTCCTCTTAATATTGGTTCCTCGTATTATTTCATGTAATTACAGTAACGGACGTTTGCAAATTAAGAATAAAGAGTAATGGACGTTTGCAAAAAATATTTCAATGGAAACTCCTATTGAAAGGAACTCCAGTTGCAGGCAACCATTTGTCGCCGTTAATGAAGTTGGAAACAGTGAACTTATCAGCTTCAGTGTTATTTATATCCTTATGGTATCCTGGCCAATTCACTCTATAATCAGTACTCGATCCTGGTCCATTGTTCCTATATTCTGCATAATAAATAGTAGTATCAAAATCTCCTTTCCATTCAATCCAACCCTCAGGTTCAATCAAACTATCCATGAAACTTTGTACGTATACGGTTCTTGAATACTTCTTCCATGGCCTTCCAAGATATGTTTTCTTTGCTCCCCTGCTCGAAGCTAAATCGTCAGCTGCTTTAATTACGCAATTGTCGATCGATATGCCAGTTTCTTGGTTTGGATCTGTCCTTCCTTGTGCAGTGATGATATTGTGTTGATGTGGCAACGGTAGTCTAGGATATATGTTACAGTTTTCAAAGACTACGGCTGCATTGCCGAATATGAAATCGACGGTGCCGTAAATATCACATTCTCTGTAAAATTGCCTGTAAGAGTGAGCATATAAGGTATCCTGGTATCCCTCGAAACTGCATCTATAAAATACAGACATGTCAGCTCCATTTCGGACTGCGACAGCTTGGCCCTTGCTAGGCCCGGCAGTGTTTTGAAATGTTATGTCCACTGCAATGAATTTCGTGCCCGCAACAGCTGTAGCAGGAGAGTTACGTATGAGTCAATAAAATGTAAAGTTCGAACACATTATTAAAGCTAAATTATGCTTTACCGAATGTTGCTGTATTGAACGTGGTGAAACCATCGGCAGCGCTGCGACTTCCTGTGATTATTGTCCGACCCATACCATCGCCGATCAAAATCAAGTTCTGCTTATTCTTAGGTACCGAAATGTACTCTTTGTAGACGCCAGAGACCACGTAAATTCCAAAATATTGATCACTTTCACCAGCATTGTGCGGTGCAGCGGCGATGGCGTCGTTGATGGTTGTGAAGTGACCATCTCCTTTTGGACTTACCACCACCACCTGTGGCACTGAAATTTTCCCATACGTTAAAGTATTACTATCATTTTTTCCTGTTGCAAATTCATAAATTGCTTGCTTATCGGTTGACACTAGCAAAGATAAAGGAGAGTTTCTTTCATGAATCAAATTGGGGAAAAAAAGGTTTCTTCTTGATATGGTGGAGCCATGATCCCAATGCCTGAAAACCGCTAGAGAAACACTGATGCTCTTTGTTCCATTAGACTGAAATAAACGATCCTTGATACTTGGTCCTAATGGCGTCGCTTCGAGTCCTTGGAAACAAGTTTCTACGTTAACTAAAGCAGCGCTAAGTGAAGCATGCAAATCATCAGCGACGAAGCTGTTTAAACTGTCCTTAGAATTGATTCTTTCCGAAACTCGTGACAAGAAATCTACGTTCTGATCGGCTAAAAACTGGCAATCCTCGAGGGCTCGTATCGTGCGTTGGGACATCGACTTGGAAGGGAATGCTAGGAAATGTTTGACAGAAGCAAGAAAACTACGAGCATTTGACAAAGACTGATGGATTGAAATGTTTCCATAGTCGAAGATCGTGTTCAACTTGTTAGAGGGTAAAATGTATTTGCAGTAATATGCATGTGGGGTGGTTTCGCAAATGGAGTCCGAGTCAAGGGGTGAAGAAGGAAAGCTAGCATGAGATTGATCAGAGGAGATGATCGTGAGAAGAGATATGATGCAAAGGGCTGACACCTTCATTGCCATTGCCCTCAAGTTTATTTTTATTGATGGAACAAGCTTTGTGTCTTACGCATATATAACACATGTACCCATCCTAATTAACCCTAAAGAATGAAATTAAATGACTAATTGAAGTTAATTTTTCACATTGTTCATTAATTACTCCTTTAATGACTTATAACTCATTTTATTTTTTTAAATTTGTCCTTAAACTTTTAATTATTTGAATTACATCCCTAAATTATGACTTACATTTTAAATTAGTCCTTAACTTTTAAACATTCTAATTTCATCCCTAAACTATGACATTCTTTCTAAATTTATCCCTAAACTTTTGAATATTCCAATTTCATCCCCAACTTCCTCCAAATCTATAATTAGTTTGAACCATAATTTAACCTAAATTTTGTTTTTTTCCAAACATATAACAAAAAAAATTGGCGTAATGATTTTATTAACAAGGGATGTGATTAGTACATACTTATAGCTTGAGATGAAATTGGAATGTTCAAAATGTTTTGGGACTACTTTAGAATGAAGGTCATAGTTTGGAATGAAGTTGAAATGTTCAAAAGCTTAAGGACTAATTTAGAATGATAATCATAGTTTAATGATGAAATTAAATATTTAAAAGTTTAGTGACCATCTTAAAATGAGGGTCATACTTTGAGGACATGTGATGTAATTAATTCTTTAAAATATTAAAAATAAAATTATAATTATAATTAAAAGATCAAATCACTCATCCATTTTACAATAGTAATGACTTATAACTCATTTTATTTTTTATACGAATTATTGCGGGTTTTACACGTTAATTTTCTATCATTTTATTATTTTGATAGAAAATGAGTTATAAATGAGTTTAAGTCATTAAAGGAGTAATTAATGAACACTGTGAAAAGTTAACTGCAATTAGTCATTTAATTTCATTCTTTAGGGTTAATTAGGATGGGTTCATGTGTATATATGCGTAAGACACAAAGCTTGTTCCATTTATAAAAATAAACTTGAGGGCAATGGCAATGAAGGTGTCAGCCCTTTGCATCATATCTCTTCTCACGATCATCTCCTCTCAATCTCATGCTAGCTTTCCTTCCTCACCCCTTGACTCGGACTCCATTTGCGAAGCCACCCCACATGCAGATTACTGCAGATACATTTTACCTTCTAACAAGTTGAACACCATCTTCGACTATGGAAACATTTCAATCCATCATTCTTTGTCAAATGCTCGTAGTTTTCTTGCTTCTGTCAAACATTTCCTAGCATTCCCTTCCAAGTCGATGTCCCAACGCACGATACGAGCCCTCGAGGATTGCCAGTTTTTAGCCGATCAGAACGTAGATTTCTTGTCACGAGTTTCGGAAAGAATCAATTCTAAGGACAGTTTAAACAGCTTCGTCGCTGATGATTTGCATGCTTCACTTAGCGCTGCTTTAGCTAACGTAGAAACTTGTTTCCAAGGACTCGAAGCGACGCCATTAGGACCAAGTATCAAGGATCGTTTATTTCAGCTAATGGAACAAAGAGCATCAGTGTTTCTCTAGCGGTTTTCAGGCATTGGGATCATGGCTCCACCATATCAAGAAGAAACCTTTTATTTCCCGATTTGTTTCACAAAAGAAACTCTCCCTTATCTTTGCTAGTGTCAACCGATAAGCAAGCAATTTATGAATTTACAACAGGAAAAAATGATAATAATACTTTAACGTATGGGAAAATTTCAGTGCCACAGGTGGTGGTGGTAAGTCCAAAAGGAGATGGTCACTTCACAACCATCAACGACGCCATCGCCGCTGCACCGCACAATGCTGGTGAAAGTGATCAATATTTTGGAATTTACGTGGTCTCTGGCGTCTACAAAGAGTACATTTCGGTACCTAAGAATAAGCAGAACTTGATTTTGATCGGCGATGGTATGGGTCGGACAATAATCGCAGGAAGTCGCAGCGCTGCCGATGGTTTCACCACGTTCAATACAGCAACATTCGGTAAAGCATAATTTAGCTTTAATAATGTGTTCGAACTTTACATTTTATTGACTCATACGTAACTCTCCTGCTACAGCTGTTGCGGGCACGAAATTCATTGCAGTGGACATAACATTTCAAAACACTGCCGGGCCTAGCAAGGGCCAAGCTGTCGCAGTCCGAAATGGAGCTGACATGTCTGTATTTTATAGATGCAGTTTCGAGGGATACCAGGATACCTTATATGCTCACTCTTACAGGCAATTTTACAGAGAATGTGACCGTCGATTTCATATTCGGCAATGCCGCCGTAGTCTTTCAAAACTGCAACATATATCCTAGACTACCGTTGCCACATCAACACAATATCATCACTGCATAAGGAAGGACAGATCCCAACCAAAAAACTGGCATATCGATCGACAATTGCATCATTAAAGCCGCTGACGATTTAGCTTCGAGCAGGGGAGCAAAGAAAACATATCTTGGAAGGCCATGGAAGAAGTATTCAAGAACCGTTTATGTACAAAGTTTCATGGATAGTTTGATTGAACCTGAGGGTTGGATAGAATGGAAAGGAGATTTGGGTATTACTCTTTATTATGCAGAATATAAGAACAATGGACCAGGATCGAGTACTGATTATAGAGTTAATTGGCCAGGATACCATAAGGATATAAATAACACCGAAGCTGATAAATTCACTGTTTCCAACTTCATTAACGGCTACAAATGGTTGCCTGCAACTGGAGTTCCTTTCAACAGGAATTTCCATTGAAATATTTTTGCAAACGTCCATTACTGTAATTTTCAGCTTTATTCTTAATTTGCAAACGTCTATCACTGTAATTACATGAAATAATATGAGGAACCAATATTACGAGGAACATATAACTTTCATTCTTAAGTGGTCCATTTATTTATGAAATCAGAAAAAAAGTTGAGTGACCAAAACAAAAGTGATAGTTGAAGTACTAAACATGTATTTCACCATTTATTTATGAATCAAGTAAATAGAGCAAGTCATAGCCATGAAATGAATACTTTTTCATCAACTAAGAAATATAATATGTTGGAATAACTTTAAAAGCATTCACCTTGGCTCATTTAACTACGATTTCAAAGTTGTAACAAGATTAACTTCATGTTGAGATAAGCTGCATGAATGGAAGAATAGGCATATGGCTGAAATATCATCCATTGCAATCCCTTTCCTCTTCTTCTTCCAAGCTCGAGCCGAAAACTCGACCAGCCGCTTTGCCGCATTTGCCTTATCCTGTGTTGAAGATACTACCTGAACTGCTTGCTCGTTCGAAACTACATCCCATACCTGCAGAAAATCAACCAAGTATCTGCAATTGTTAGGGTTACTTTTTTTTAACATTTCGATCATTAATTGAAGCCCAAGTACACATGCATACCCCATCGGTGGCGAGCATGACGAACTGGTCTTTGTTGGTTATGTGTCTCTGTGTGACTTCGGGAACGGAAATGAGACCGTAATCCTTAATGCAGTAATCACCAAAAGCTCTAGACATTGCCAGTCCCGGTGACTCCTTGTTAGGCAGCCAAACTCTATGCACCCCTGGCTCATCGTCCAAGCAGAAAACGCGACCTTTGCACTGAATTATCCGCTCAGCCTCCACTGCAAACACGACCCAACTGAAAACGTTAGGATTTTAAGTTTTACATGTTCAGAGATCGTGACGGATTACTCACGGGGTAAATTGGCCTTGAAATCAATGGTGAGCTGAACGGGAACCAAGGTTCCATCATCTGAATTTGTAGCCAAAACAGCCCGAGAATCGCCAATGTTGGCTACATATATGATGTCCCCCTGCACAGTTAAAGTCTGAATCATTGCAGTAGCCCTCATTAGTGAAGTAGTATGTCCTAACAAGAAGTAAACGCTTGAATTACCTGTCTGACAATTGTCAAGGCAGTTGTTCCACTGTGGAAGGAATCGATCTTCCGACATTGCTCGAGCTCATGATCGACAGCAGCACAAGTCTTTAGATAAGAATGCTTCCATATGTGAAATCTCTGATGCTTTTTATTGGATTCCAAATCCATATCCGGATCAAGTGACACCCCAGCTAGAGTGTCTTGCCAATTGCGGAGCAAGGACGAAGGCATCGACTCTCGAACCTTTTTCGCAACGAAATGACCCCATGGACCATGGCCATCAAATACCCCACAAAACAACATGTCTGGTTGACATCCAAATTCCTATTCCAACAAAGGTAAGCCACTTTATCAATCAACAAACGAGAAATGAACAATCTTTATGCGGTAAATGTTAATGCCTTGGCTTACCTCCCATACAATAGCACAATCCTGGTTCACTCCTTTTCTGCCTCTCTTGGAGAAAACCGAGGCCAAATTGTAAGAACCTTCAGCTTTTACAAAACCAGAAGACTTTAGAATCATATCATTCTTCTTTGCATCCTTCACCGTCGTCTCGACAGCTTGTCCTCCGTCATCGCCATTGCCTGGATTCCTCCCTCTTCGCATCGGAAAAGATTTCGCTAATTCATTGAACATGAGGAAAAATGCCTCATTGCCTCTAGAATTCAAAACCCACTCTCGAAAAACAAAAGTTATTGCTTTGTTCCCTTCTGTGTAGATCCAAAGCTGCCCTATGGAAAACAAAATAAATAGACCATAAAAACTTCACATTCTCAAAGACTGACGAGCGAAGGAAACAGTATAAAATTTCTCAAGCAAGGAAGCCTTGTACACATACATATACACACACATATATATATGTTAGTCCAAATTCTTGGTTAACGCATATTGAATTTGAGTGGAACTGTGGACCAAGATAAGAATCTAACAATATAATATCAGCAAAAACATGAACCTGTGAATCTGCAGAGAATATTCATTATGACATGGAATTCCATTAGCCTCCCCTTATAGAGTTTTGAAGGAGATAAACAAGTAGCAGCTAGTAAATAGATTAAAAAAATTCACAATACTTTTAGACTTAGCTGGATAGCAACCCCCATCAAATGGTCTGTTTGGTTGCCGAGAAAAGGAGAAAAGAAAACTTCAAAAATGAAATGAAGGAAATCTAGAAATTCCCTTTATAGGAGAAAGGAAAAGGCTAAAAGGAATTAATGTGCAAAGTTACCGAGTTACCGTTTTTAGATGAAAAGTAAAATTAATATAACAGAGTTTCCAAATTTAAACTTGTTTCTCATGTTAAAATCTATAAATTAATCTCATGTTACCATAAAAGTACCAATTAAAATGAATCAAAATTTAATCTTTTTACAGAATCTTTTACCCCAACTCTCTTTTGAAAGTAATCCTAGAAAAAGAAAGAAAATAACTCCAAAACAAATTTATAAAAGAGAAACAAAGCAGCTCAATTTAGTTTAATATCTATCATTCTATCCTAAAACAAAAAACTTAAAACCCAACTTTCTCAGAAACCAAACAGAAAGAGAAAAAAAAAGACCCGGCAAGACCAAACTCCGAAAAGTCAAGATGGGTTTAATGATATTAGACCTTAAGAGTGAATGGTTTGTCGGGAAGCTGTTGCAAGTTGTCGGAATATGATGACGTGATCCTCGTAAGAAATGCTTACAAATCGAGAGAGAAAAGATGGAGATGGATCAGAAGAACAACCCATAGTTGAAAGCAGTACATGTAATTACATGCAAACAACAAATTTATAATTATTACAAACAACGCTTTTTTTGTTTTGTTTTTTTCTTCTGTAAGACTTTTACAATTAAATCATAACTTTTTTTTTGCTTTTGCGGTTTTGTCATGCCTTTTATGAGATTTGTTTAGCTTTCTATTTTCCATTTTCTTATTATATTAAATTAAACTAATTAGTTAATTTTATGAATTATTTTATAATATAAAGTTTGAAATTGTTTTGAAGTATAAAATTGTGTTCTTGAATTTAAAATTGTGGATTTGTGCCCCCTTTGTTAAACCAAGGGTTCAATTTTAGTTTGCAAAATGGGCATGAGTTTTGATTTGAAAATATTTATCATAATTTATATATAATTAATGTATTGTTTTTATGAGATCACAATTAAATAGTCTTGCCAAACTGAGTTATTTATTATTTTTCAATTAAGTATGAACTTAAATTTCAAATAGTTGCATTGACAAAACTTTAAATATGTTAAGGGTAAACCACATAAATGATCTCTAAACTTTAAGGAAACTCGTATTTTCTTCACAAAATTTTTCAAATTTATAATACAATCACTGAATTTTTAATTCAGTTTTAGTACAGTCATTGTCATAAACTATCGTTAAAAAAATATAAATGTGGTAGCCTAAAGTCTTCTTCCCCCAAAAATGCTAAGTTTCTTAAACTAATTAGCAATTGTTAGTCTCATTTTGCATGCATCGTCATCATCCAATGTTCTTCCAATCATCATTGTTTCTAAACATAACACTCACCAAACACAATAGCTTCATCATATCTTTTCATCTAAGTCTTAAACACCATAACCACGAGTCATAACCAATATATACAACCAAGGTAACCTCATGCTACCATCACCAATCTCATTAAGTATTTGTCTACAGCCACAACCATCAATAACAATAAAAATAACCAACAAAAAACAAGCAGAGAATTGAATAAAATATAGAAAAAAGGAAAACTACTCATCTCGGTCTTGGTGAGTTTTTGATTAATATAACGGTTATCGATAAATCTCAATTTAGGAAGGTTTTATTTGACTAGAATATTAAAATAGTTTAGTTTTATGTTGATTTGATACTTGATAAAACAAATAAGCAAACAAGTAAAGAAAAAAAGAAAAGGAAAATTATTCATCTCGGCCTTGACGAGTTTATGATAATAGAACGATTGTCGATAAATCTTAATAGTGGGAACGCTTTGTTTGACTAAAAGATTAAAATAGTTTAGTTTCAAAATGATTAGACATTTGATAATGGCAGATAAAAAAAATTAGCTTTTAGTTTCGATTGAGATTTGAGGAGATTGAAAAGTTATCCGAAGAGTTTGGATCGATGAAAATGAAGAGAATAAGAAAATGAGTAGATCAGTGATCTTTTCAATTGAAAAAACCTTCAAACGATAATAAAACGACAATGAAAGGAGGATCAATGACTATCAAATTCAAGTATGAGAAACATACGGGGTTTTTCGGGAAGAAGATTACTTTAATGTGCCACGCTAATATTTTTTAAAGGTTATTGACGACAACAATTGTAATGAAAGTGAATTAAAAGTTCGGGTAAATTCATTGTATGTTTTAAAAGTTTAGTGATTAAATTGTAAGTGGTTTAAAAGTTTGAGGATTATTTATGTAGTTTACCCATACTTCAAATTAGGTAATTGAGTTCACAATAATACACATGGCCAAGAAAAAATATATTAAATATTTTTCAAATTAAACTTCAAAATAAAATAAAAAACTCTTAAATTATTATTTTTTTCATGTTTATCTAAAATTCTATGTTAAATATTATTCATAAATTAGTGCACTTCTATAATTGAAGGCGACATTTCAAACATGTCCAAAAGCAAATAACGTGCTAGGAATATTATTAAAATATTTTCAAATTTCAATTATTGGTAACATCCAAATATTTTTGTACGATTGAGATGAAATAAAATTTTCTTTCTTGCCCTAAATTAGATAACAGTATTTCATGAAAACACAAATAAAGTACGTCATTTTATTATTTTAATAATTCAACAGTAAAAAATATATAAATGGTGTGACGTTGTCAAAATTAACAAGATTTCATTGAAAAATTATATATTAAACGTAAAAATAGAAAACATACTTAAAAAACTCTTAATTGGTGATCTTTTTTTTAAAAAAATCTATGTATTTTGATGATTTGGAATGTTTAGAATTTACAAATTTATTAATGTTAAGTATTTAAGAATGAATGAAAATTAAGTGTCCAAATTATACCTTAAGTTAACTTTAGGTGTCTAAAAAATTTTATATTAAAAATAAGTATCTAATGTCTTCTCCGTTACACTTTTAGATGTATGACTCTCTGTTACACTTTTAGGTGTCTATGCAGTAACGACAGTTAAAAATACCGTTAAGTGACATACGTCATGTTTATATTTTGGTGTAATGCAAAAATAAGTGTTCAAACTATACCCTAAGTTAATTTTAGGTGCCTACAAAGTTTTTCGTTAAAAATACGTGTTTAATGTTTCCAACGTTACAAGGTGTATATGCAATAATGACCGTTAAAAAAACTCGTGAAGTGACACTTGACATGTTTATATTGTTTGTATTTTATTTTAAAAATTAACTTAATAATATTATTAATTTTAAAAAAATTACAAAAAAACATGCAACCCTAAAATCTCTCATTTCAATCCTATTATTAACCGTTGTTGGTCATCACCGGTCGTCTTCGCCATTATCGAACGACCACTCACCTGTCGTCAGGCCTCCACTAACGACCATCTCTCTTGTTGTCATCACAATCCCCTTAAATCCATAAACCCAAACTTAAATCACTAAACCTAATATTCAAATCTCTAACTTTGATACTAAATTTATCATTTTTGCCTCAAGTTAACTTTAAGGATTTATGGGGAGAGGAAATTCTTTTCTTAAAATATAGTTTTTTAAATAATATTTCATTTAAAAAAAACAAAAATGTTATATATATATATATGCGAAACATGTCAGGTAAAGACCAAATTAAACAGTCGTTATAGTCTAGGCACCTAAAAGTGTAACATTTTAAAATGTTAGGCACCTATTCTTAGCGAAATTTTTTTTAAGCACCTAAAGTTAACGTATAGTTTGAACACTTATTTTTACATTAAATCAAAATGTAAACATGCCACGTGACATTTAACGAGTCTTTTTAACGACTGTTATTATGTATGCACCTAAAAATGTAAAATAGAAAACATTAGACTCCTAAAAGTGTAACAAAGAAAATATTAAACACTTATTTTTAACGAAAAATTCTTTAGGCACTTAAAGTTAATTTAGGTATAACTTGGGCACTTGTTTTTGCATTAAATCTATATTTAATTAAGAGTTAACTGCATCATATGTCTTTAAATTGTAAGTCTCATTTTAAATTGGTCCTTAAACTTTTGAATATTTTAATTTCATCCTCAAACTATAACTCCCATTCTAAATTAGTCCTTAAACTTTTGAACATTCTAATTTCATCCCTAAACTATGATCCTCATTCTAAATTAGTCCCTAAACTTCTAAATTTTCCCATTCCATCCCCAAGTTCTTCCAAATATGTAATTGGTTTCAACCATAGTTCAACCTAAATTTTATTTTTCTCAAATATATAATAATATAATTTAGCCTAACGATGTTATTACGAGTGGTGTGATTAGTATATAAGTATAGTTTGGGATGAATTTTTTTTAAAAAGTTTAGGGACTAATTTAGAATGGACATAGTTTGGGGATGAGATTGAAATGTTCATAAGTTCGAGGACTAATTTAGAATGATAATCATAGTTTAGGGTTGACATTAGAATACTAAAATGTTTAGGGACTAATTTAAAATTAGGGTCATAGTTTGAGGACATATGATGCAATTAACTCTTTAATTAATAAAAACATTGTTTGGTCTATAATTTTGTTCCGTACACGTGGCTTCTTTCGTAGATCAAACACCATGAAATAATAATTGTGATTATTTTGTACATGTGACCATAATTGATTAAGTAATTAAAAGAAGTTGGAGGCGATAAATTAAAAGATAAAATAAATTTTGGTCATATACTTGCAAGATATTTTAATTGTTTCACGTGCTTCTGTATGAAACATTCAAATAAGACCTTTCCACAAATTTAGGAAAATAATATATATATGAATTTAAATATTTATGGGATAATTATAAATTACACCATTTAAAAAAAAATTATATTCTATCCTCCTAAACTAAAATTATAATAGATTGATACGGATTAATTAAAGCAAGACTCTGAGAAACTTGAAGGACAAAAAAAAAGATCTTTACAAAAATTTAAGAAAATAATTTACAAAAATTTAGATATTAATAAAAAAGTCATTTCATTATGAAATGATCAAAATATAGTAATTCAAAAGCTGAATGATTAAATTAAAAAAAATTAAACCATAATGACCGAAATAGGAATGAGAAGATACTTGAATGATGTATGGTGTATTTTACTCTTTTATTTAAAATAATTAAAAGTTTTTTTTAAAAAATCAATTATGTTTATTAGTGATAAATAAGAAATTAAAAGTAAATCATTTAAATTCGAGACGAACAATACAAGAGAGATCGTTATTGGATTTAGGTTTCAATCACCGATCTTGCTATTGTAAGGGCACCCAACTCTATTGCATTTTCGTAGCACTGGAAGCTAAAAGAAGATAATGCATTTATACTTGTATATATTTATTCTACAATGGTAGGTAACTGAAACTTTGAAAGCTAAATTCTTTCGGATTATAAATATCTATCTATTCATCTATATATTTGCGGCAAAACTCACGAGATATTGCTATGAAAAAAAACAATTCACGTGATAATGTTGTCCAAGAAATAATTGTTCAAATGGTGTGAATTATACAGTGCATGGATTGGTCGCCATGCAAGCCAAACGAGATCATAGGTCGCCATACACTTGGTGCAACCTTGTAGGTCGCCATGCAAATGGCTCGAATTCCTCCGTGATTCTGCTGAAATTACGACAAAGGTGGCTCTGCCTCCCTCACACCCCTGTCTCCCTCATGCATGCAGCAATGAAATCACGATAAAAGTGTTCTATACGAGCTGTGGTGAGAGGATGAAGCTTTGCTACGAGCTGTGGTGAGAGGATGAAGCTTTGCATGTGCCATGCACGTCGGAAGAGGTCGCCATGCACGTCAGAAGAGGTCGCCTGCATGCAGTGGGGAGCAGGCGAGCATGCAACGGGGAGCAAGGCGTAGGACAAGGTCGCCCAGCGTGCATGGCGACCTACTATGTCGCCTGGCGTGCATGGCGACCTACAAGGTCGCCCGGAGGGCATGGCGACCTATGCTGGGAAGCTGTCACGCCGTAGGTCGCCAGGAAGGCATGGCGACCTACGGCCAACACTGTGCAATTCACCCTATTTGAGCAATTAATCTTGGGAGTACGTTATGTCGTTAAATAAAAAATTCGAGAACGTTATCTCGAAAGTTTTGCCATATATTTGCACGGTGATACTTGCAGCCTATGAATGAATTTCTCCGCATACTCTAGTTCCATCTCTTCCCTTTTGGGTTTTTTTTATAAACATGACATCACACCATAAAAATCGACCAATTAAAAATAATAGGAGAAACTATACCAATGATCACTTAATTACTATCCCTTTTCACTTTGATAATCAATTTCACGTTTAATTATTTATTTGTAGTCAATTAAGTCACTTGATGATAACATTTAAAGGAAAAGTTCAGTAGTTGTTAGTTTTTCTATATAATTACACATTTAATTCTCAATATTTATATATTCTATCAATTTGATCAACTTAAATGTATAAATAACAATTACGTCAACCCTTCCATCAAATGTTAACGAAAAGTGACTTAATTGACTACAATTAAATAATTAAGTGGTATAATTAATAAAATTAAAAAATCAACGGAGACAATAATTAAATAGTTATTGGTATAATTTACCCAAAACAATATGTGGATGAGTGGACGGTGTAATCAACTAGCCACTAAAATCAAGAAAACCAATACATAATTTGGTAAGGCATTCAATAATTGTTCAGAATCATCCATATCTTTCCAACTTTGCTAAATATTAGCATAAAAGCATGACACCGTTACCAGCAACCGTAGACATGTTCCTGGTCAAAGCCACTCAGGTTAGATTAAATAATTTTCTCTGTCACTCGTACTCGAATGTAAGTATAAAATACAAATATATATCTGACATGAATATTTATATTCATATATCAAATATAAATAATTTAAAAAATAATAAAAAATAAAAGCAAAAAAACACATCAACAAGAGAAACATCGATTCATGGTTACTGTTTCAACTTTGGCAAAACAAAACAAAACCTCTGCAGCAAAGTCTATCATCCAATATTAAAATTATTTTGAGGGCAGATGATTCATTGATGTATGACTTGTCGTGCTGCTAAGAGATCATTTCATTGATGTATGACCCTGTCATGCTACTAAGAGATCACAACATAAATGAAATCTAGACAATAGAATAACATTATTTGTAATTGTTAGACATCATGGCATGCAATTATTTGTGAGAAATAATGGAGCAAAGAAGTGCAAAATCCTTCATTATGTTCTCTACACTTGTTCATGAAGCTTTCTTTGGGAAATTTGGACATCTCCAAGTGGCGGCCCTCAACCTCAACCCACACAAATCCAAATGAGCTTAGGCCTTGTATTGTTTACTTGAGATTCGGCCCACCACTTGAGTAGATGTATCCATGGTCACATTAACTTTTTGGGCAAAGTACATAAATGTATGTGTGTTTTGTTGAGTTATGACTATTAAAAGTTATAGAATTATCCTCGATTATAAGTCTTATTTTATTATGTCCATCAACCATTAAAAGTTACAAAATAGTTATTCGAGTATTTATATGTTTCAAACTCGTAATTTTTCGTTAAAAAATAATTGTATGTTAAACGTTAACTACTAGCTGAGATATGATAAAATTAATCTATAATTATTTGAGTTGTATATTCGTTTGAGATTATAGATAACATTTTATTATATCTTAATCAACATATTAACGTAACATCAAATGTCATCAACTTTTAACAAAAAAAGGACGAGTTTACAACATATAAATAGTTTAGTGACTTTTAATGGTTGAGAGACTTTTAAATATGAATAGTTAGAGAGAGACTCGATAAAATATAATAGTTTAGTGATCAGTTTGCAACATATGAATAGTTTAGTCAGGAGATTATTTTGTAACTTTCAATAGTCGGAACTTGATAAAAATACACTTTATAATCGGGAACTATTTATGTAATTTACCCTAACCTTTTATTAAGTTCGGTTTATTAAATTTATCTTTTCTTTGATCGCAGATATTCTCTTTTGAGAGTTTTGTTTGAAGTAATATAGAAGCTCTATTAAGTTGCATCAAAATCTAAACAAATAAACAATCATTTCAAAAATAAAATAATTGAAAATGTAGAAGCGTTTCCATCAAGGGAAAGACTGGGGAATCAGAACACCATTTTCATCGTAGTGGATTACCCAAGACCCACTCAAAGGCTTGCACTTCCCTCCCATTAATATCCTCTTCCTCCATACTTGTTCTTTCTTTGATCTTTCTCCCATCATTTTACTTACCCTCTCCCACTGCCTACTCGCCCTTCTCCATCTCCCACTCCGCCTCGATTTCGGTCCCTCTTTCCTCCCACTTCCGCCCTCCATCACCGTCGACGGTTCCGCCTTTCCTTCAGCCTCCACCGTTTCCTTTTCTTCATTGCCTTTGACTATTATTTTCTCCGATCGTATGTCGAGGCTTTCAATCATTTTCTTCAGTTTCATCATGGCCTCATCATCGTCTCCATGGGAGCCAGACTCTGGGAACTTGTCATGCTTACCGAATACATTGGAAACCATTGACCCAACCATTTTCCTAAAACTCTTTCTACCATTTTCACCATCATTTTGTGGATTTCCTCTTTGCATATCTTGACCAAAATGCTGAAAACATGCGAGTCCTGGGAAATGGCAGCCTCATTGTCATCTTCTTCTTCTTGAGGTTGTTACTTTGATGGATAGTTACAATTTGAAGCAGCAGTATTTAAAGAGTTCAAGAAGTTGGGAGAAAAGATTTAAATATCATGCCTTTTTGGATAGGTATATGCTAAAAGATATATCCATAGACAAATACTGTGCTTGCTCTCTTGGATTTAGGATTCTAGTCAATTAACTGGATTAATTTATTTAGACTAATTATTTTTCTGAGTTAATTTTACTATACACCCTAAACTATTATACACATTCGAAATTAGTCCTTAAACTTTGAATATTTCAATTTTAATCAAAATTATGATTTTCATTCTAAATTTGTCATTTCAGATTTATCCTCAAACTATGACCCACATTCTTATTTAGTCTCTAAACTATTGAACGTTCCAATAATGTCCCTCGAAATCATTCAAAAGTTTAGGGTGAAATTGGAATATTTAAAAGTTTAATGACCAAATTATAATGAGAGTCATAGTTTGAGGATGAATTTGGAGCATTAAAAAGTTTGACGGACCAATTTAAAATGAGAGTCATAGTTTAGGATAAAATTAGAATGCTCAAAAAGTCTAGGCACTAGTTTAAAATGAGGGCCATAATTTGAGGGTGTATGATAAAATTAACTCTATTTTAAAAAATAACTAATACACCACTCGGAAATAAAGCAAAGTTTTTTTTAATAAAAAAGGTTTGAGTACCAGTTTAGAATGAGAGTTATAGTTTAAGGATAAAATTAAAATATTTAAAAGTTAGGGACCAGTTATAAAAAATACTAAATATTAACTCGAGAAAAAATACTGCCAAATAATTTTAAATGTTAGAATTAAAACATATAAAAATAAATTAAAAAAGACTTTAATCTAGTCAAATTTATTAAATCTAAGAAATAAACACATGTATAAATGCTTTTAAATATAATAATAAGAGTTAAACTTGATTTTTAGTATTATATCACTTAAAATCTTTTACCATTAAACCGGTGTAATTAATGAAACATAAAAATTATTGATTTATCTAATTGAAAAAAAAACAATGACAAAATCAAATATTTAAATTAAACCAACCCACTGCTTCCCTCACATCCCTTTGTTCACGTCAGCTTCTTTCTATCCGTCCGTGATTTTTGAAAAATCAGATAATGCAATCTTCTATAGTCGTTGTCATTTTTTTACGAGCATCAGTTACATGTAAATCGAAAATTATCAATAATTTTTAAATAATTAAATAAATAATATATAGTTATAAAAAATCTGTCTGGTCTTAGGGAAGAGTTTGGTGGGAAAGACATTACATGATCATCAATAAATAATATGATTTTTCAATGATGAATAAGATTGTTGGAGGTTATTTTTTTATGGTTGCTATTGGAATGAATATATAAATTTATAAAAAATAAATGTTACAATCCTAAATAAACAAAAATTCATAAAATAATTATAATCTTAATTGAAATATAATTTAATTATATTTTATTAAAAATTAAATTAAATAATAATAAAGGATGAATTGTGAACAATTTATTATATTTTTTTAATGTTTATGAAATCAAAATAATATAGTTAATAGTGTACATCGATGTGTCATAGTAATAATATATTTCAATGTGTAACGCATGTTATAGATTTATACATAAACAAGTCTAATTTTGATTAACAGAGACAAATTAATTAATAGTGTACATTCATGTGTCATATTAATAATGTGTTTCTACTAAATATGCTATAGTCTCATCATGAACAAGTCTAATTTTGGTTAATTATATTCGATTGGTGTTGGCCCTTTAGAAAGATTGGGGGTTGCATTTATTTGGGCTTATGAATCGAAAAGGTTATTTTTTTTATCTTTCTTTCTCAGCTGAAGCTTCAGTCAAACCCTCTTTCTCCTTCTACGTCGCTTATCATTCATCGCGGCCGCTCTAACCCCTTCTTTTCAGGCGAGTCTCATAATTTCACTCTGATAAGTTCTTTTTTGTTGGACAACTTGATTGTTATTTTTATATCTAGATCGGACTATGAAAACGACTTAAATCTTTCTCCTTTAGATTTAGTGTGAATTTAATGAATATAAATAAAATTTCTTAACACTGTTTCCGATTGTAATTTTTTTAATGTTTGTTTTGGAACTTGTATTTGGTTTCCCTCCGAGATTGAAGATAAAAGTTTTTTTTGTTTAATCATTTTTAAAATTATTTGATTGATAAAAAGGTTTGTTTTGGGCAGCCGCGAGTGGTTTTAAGAATTCGATTCCCGACATGGCGAATTTTGCGAAACCAGAGAATGCATTGAAGAGAGCTGAAGGTTATTTACAAATCTTTCCTTTGTTAGTTTGTTTGTTGTTTTGCAATTTGTTTGGCATTAGAGCAAGTATCTGCTGTTAATGTGAATCTGGGTCGTGGAGTCGTTGCCCTAATTAATTAAAAGTTTATGTTGGGTTGTGATATTACTTCTACTTTTTAATGGTATATGTGTTTGTATTGACATTGTGGCGGGGTTGATGCAGAGTTGATTAATGTTGGGCAGAAACAAGATGCTTTGCAGGCTCTTCACAATCTGATAACTTCCAAGAGATATAGAGCCTGGCAGAAGCCACTTGAGAAGATAATGTTAAAGTATGTAGAGCTGTGCGTTGATATGAGGAAGGGCAGGTTTGCCAAGGATGGTCTAATTCAGTATCGTATCGTATGTCAACAAGTGAATGTTAGTTCTTTGGAGGAGGTGATCAAGCACTTCATGCATCTTTCTACTCAGAAAGCTGAGCATGCTCGTAGTCAAGCAGAAGCCTTAGAAGAAGCTCTTGATGTTGATGACCTTGAAGCTGATAAAAGGCCAGAAGATTTAATGCTAAGTTATGTCAGTGGAGAGAAAGGAAAGGATAGATCTGATCGTGAACTTGTTACTCCTTGGTTCAAGTTTCTTTGGGAGACATATAGAACGGTGCTTGAAATACTGCGGAACAATTCCAAGTTAGAGGCACTCTATGCGGTATTTCCTGTCTTAATGACTTCCCATAAATTTTTAGTATTTGTCGCTACGGTACCTATTAATCTTCAATATTTTACTGCTACATGAAATTTGGCAAACTTGTTTTCAGCATTATGAGAGATGGGTCTCCATGTTCTTCCATGCTATTTTTTTGTCTTTCATTGAAAGATGAGTAGTACTGTTGAATAGTATTTAGAGTCCGAAGTTTTGTAATTTTTTGCATGTAGAATCTATAAGCTTTTAAGGATAATTTCTAAGTAATATAGAACCTAAAGTTGTTATTAGGTGAATCTCATAAATTTAATGAGGTTTCCGGGAAAAAGAGATTATGGACGACAAAAAATGGTTTTGGTCTTGGCAAAACGGTAATAAATTTATTATTGGGAATTGCTTTTTGTCTTTGCAAAATAATTATTAATTTAGTATTGGATTTTTTTGGCCTAATTTGTTATTAGATGAATTTCAAAGACTTTTCCAGGTTTGCTTTGCCCGGAAAAAAACAGTACGGCCTAGAGTTGATTTTGGTCTTGGCTATTGGTGATACAGCCTGCACATCCTTACAGTTGAAACATAATGAAATTAGTGTATTGTTTTTTTGTTTATGGTTGATAATTTCTTTTTTCCATGATAATAATAATATCTTTATATATTTCAAATAACAAATCTTTTTAGTTTTAAAATATCATGCAGATGACAGCACATCGGGCATTCCAGTTTTGCAAGCAGTATAAACGGACAACAGAATTCCGAAGGTTGTGTGAGATTATAAGGAATCATTTAGCAAATCTAAATAAATATAAAGATCAGAGAGATAGACCTGACCTTTCAGCACCTGAGAGTTTGCAACTGTATCTCGATACAAGATTTGAGCAGCTAAAGATTGCTACTGAACTTGGACTCTGGCAGGTATGCTTCTTGCTTCATCCACCTTTTTGTGCTTAATGGACGAGTTCGCTATCTTGTAATGGATAGCTGGTACCTGCTTCTGATTTTGCTTGTGATGTTGGTCCTCACAGGAAGCTTTTCGTTCTGTTGAAGATATTCATGGATTGATGTCCATTGTCAAGAAAACTCCCAAGGCTTCCTTGATGGTGGTTTATTATGCCAAGTTAACTGAAATATTCTGGATTTCAGGAAGCTATCTTTATAATGCTTATGCATGGTTCAAGCTATTCACACTCCAAAAAAGCTTTAACAAAAACTTGAGTCAGAAGGATTTGCAGTTGATAGCATCATCAGTTGTTTTGGCTGCACTATCAGTGTCCCCTTACAATCAAACAAGTGGTGCATCACACTTGGAACTTGAAAACGAGAAAGAACGCAACATTCGAATGGCAAATCTTATAGGATTTAATATTGAATCTAAACTTGAGAACAGAGAAGTGGTATGTTGTATTGAATTTCATTTGCTGTAATTTTTCTTGTTCTGGATATTGAACGATTCTGATATTCTTCGTTTCTTACAGTTGTCCAGATCGGCAGTTCTCACAGACCTGGTATGGTTAAATTTTCTGAGCTCGATTTTTTTTGTCTGCATATTTCTTTTATTGATTTGATTATAAATCATGGATTGTGATGCTTTAATTTTCTGGTTATTTATGTCTTAAGTCTTATATGATGATGTTTCTCAAATCAATTTAATATAGTGGAACTCAACCCAAATACGGCCCTTAATACAAACTAGTTGGGTTGGACTATGTTACATAAAGTCTCCATTGGTAAATGCGAATGATCTATTGCTGTATCGGCTTAGCACTATATCTATGTTTCATTTCATAGCCTTAAAATCTGCGTTGATCCTGGAGATCTTTGAGATCCATAATCATTCTATTCATGAAGTGATTTGGTCTTTCTTTGCAACATTCTTTAGCGCAAAGAAACAAGTCTCCCCAGTTTTGTGCTTAGGCTTGATTGAGCTCTCTCTCTCTGTCATATGGGCTACCAAAGGAATATTAGCTCTATATTTATGTGACTAGAATTTTTAAACGTCTTTTGTCTAACTGCCTGTTGTAATTTCCATTTTATTTAGGTATCCAAAGGTGTTCTTAGTTGTGCGACTCAAGAAGTAAAAGATCTTTACCATCTTTTAGAGAACGATTTTTCCCCTCTTGATGTTGCATCTAAGATTCAGCCTTTGTTGATGAAAGTATCAAAACTGGGTGGGAAGCTGGCTTCAGCTTCATCTGTACCCGAAGTTCAACTCTCTCAATATGTTCCTTCCCTTGAAAGGCTTGTTACCCTCAGGTTGCTTAAGCAGGTGTGTTTTCATGTTTGATTCCTTTTCATTTTTTTAAAATTTTCTTACTAGCATTATGCTTAAGCACGTGTGTTCTTGTGTCAATGTTTGATTTACTTGCCTCTCCAGGTGTCCCAGGTTTACCTGACAATGAAAATTGAGAGTTTGTCTCAGATGATCCCCTTCTTTGAATTTTCTATGGTGGAAAAGATTTCTGTTGATGCTGTGAAACATAAGTTCATAGCCATGAAAGTTGATCACATGAAGGGTGCTGTGCTGTTTGGTAATATGGTAAGTTTGGATTATTGACTGTTTATACTTTTTTCTTTGCAGGTATATCTAGGCTTTATGCATTTTTGTTCATATTTCTTAAAAGCCTTTGCATGGCATATGATATATATTTATAATAAAATGTATTTTCCTTTTTAGGGTCTTGAATCTGACAAACTTCGCGATCACTTGACTATTCTTGCTGAGTCTTTGAATAAAGCGAGAGCAATGATATACCCCTCTGTGAAGAAATCATCTAAGCTGGGTGAAGCTTTACCGGGGTTAGCAGAAATTGTAGATAAGGAACACAAAAGACTTCTTGCTCGGAAATCAATCATTGAGAAAAGAAAGGAAGAACAAGAGCGTCAACTATTGGAAATGGTATCCCCATTTAAAACATCAGGTTTCATCATTTAGCAAAATCGGGTAAATGAATTCATAAAGTTATGTTCATGCTTTTGTTTTTGATACACTAGGAACGTGAGGAGGAGTCAAAGAGGCAGAATTTACTGAAGAAAACTGAAGAAGCAGAGAAAAAGAGGCTTGCTGCTATGTTTGAGCAACAGCGAGCTGAAAGAATTCGTAAGGAAATAGAGGAGCGGGAGCTTGAAGAAGCACAGGCACTACTACAGGAAACTGAAAAGCATTTGAAACGAGGGAAAAAGAAGCCACTTTTAGATGGGGTACGTGGCCTTTTTTATGCCCATCAAGTGCTTGATTCATATTGAAGTTGTTTCTTGACTATATATGTGCATCCAGGAGAAATTAACGAAGCAAACCTTGATTGAGCGGGCTTTGAGTGAGCAGCTCAAGGAGAGGCAAGAACAGGAGAAGAGGCTACAAAAGGTTGCCAAAACAATGGACCACCTAGAAAGGGCAAAGAGAGAGGAGGCAGCCCCCTTGATTGAAGCTGCTTTTCAACGACGTCTGGTAGAAGAGAAGGCACTTCATGAGCGTGAGCAACAGGTGAAACTTTCATTTCTCCGTTTCGTTATTGCACCTGTTTTTTTGCATTTGAACTACACCTTGTTTGCAATTTTCCCATCCGAGGTCTCTAAACATTTGATCTCTTATCTTCTATGAACATATCAAATATTTGATGTGCTTAAATCTGCCTCAACAGACACTCGACCTTCATTTGCACATCTATTTCTCGAATGGATAGACTGTCAATCTATGTTACTCTACCATTGTTTGAGAGAGGTTTTTGCCATTGTGGATCTTCTCATAATATCATCTTTAATCCTTTCCTTCTGACTTGTAGCTGGAAGTTGAGTTGAGCAGACAGCGCCATGACGGTGACTTGAAAGAGAAGAATAGGCTGGCACGCATGTTAGAAAACAAGGTTAGTACAATTTGTGGCTTTGTGTTCTTGAGAGAATTTCTCTTGCTAGAGATACTTTAACTTAAGACATTTGGTTTCTGCTTTTCCACAGATGATTTTCCAGGAAAAAGTAATAAGTCGTCGGCAAGCTGAGTTTGACCGAAGGAGAATAGAAAGAGAGAATAGAATCAATCAAATCATTCAGGCCCGGATGCAGGAAAGAGATGTCAAGAGAAAGAAAATATTTTATGTGAGGTCTGAGGAGGAACGAATAAAAAGGTTGCACGAAGAGGAGGAAGCTCGTAAACGCAAAGGTATCCAATGAGATTTTTTCTACGAGGCTACAAATTTCTGCTTTCTATCTACTTGATTTGTTGGATCTTTGAAACTTGCAGAGGCTGAGAAACGAAGGAAAGAGGAAGCTGAACACAAAGCAAAAATGGATGAGATTGCCGAAAAGCAGAGGCAAAGAGAACGAGAATTAGAAGAGAAAGAAAGGCTGAGGCGAGAAGCTCTTTTGGGAAGGTCTGCAGAGGGGCTTTCTAGGCCTTCTGAACTTCCTACTGGATCCCGCACAACAGAGCCTGGAGTTGCTCAAGCTGCTGCTCCATCTCCCGGGAAATATGTTCCTAGGTTTCGGCGAGAAAGACCGGAAAGCTCTGGGCCAGCTCCACCTGAACCCGATCGATGGGTCAAGCCAGCACCCTCAGAACCAGAGCGATTAACTGCGGGCAGCAGGGCTCCTCCACCGCAATCTGATCGCTGGACCAGTGGCAGTAGGGCTCCACCTCAGGATTCTGATCGTTTAGGCAGTGGTGGTAGCAGAGCATTACCACCAGATTCGAATCGTCTGGGTGGTGGTAGCGGCAGCAGCAAACCAGAACCCTGGCGACCATCAAGGGCTCAACGTGGTTGATCCAGCTTCTGATATTCAATGGTGTGCTGAAATGCAAAAAGTTTTGTACTTGGAACTGTTTATGATTGTCAGTGACTTGTAACAGACAACGTTGTGACATACTATTTTTGAAGACATCAAGACATGATAAAGTTGTGTTATGTGTTTTATTTGTTTATCTTTTTACTCGGTGGATTACTGCATTTTGTATGCCAAACCGTTTAGACAGTGTTAAAGCTGAATTTTATCTGTTCTTGTTCAACAGCATTACTTTATTTGTTAAAGGCTAAGGACAGTGAATAGGGTTGAAATCAAGAGTTCAATCCCAAATTTATTGCTTAAATATTCAAAATTCGGGTCATATATTATTATGAGTTTGAACAAACTTGAGGTGAACATATGTAAATGGTAAGGTAATTTAATTTTAAAAGCATTATGAATATATTTTAAAAAAGAGTTGGTAAATCAAGTATTAAAAGGTTGGATACCGTGGGTTGTTTGAACTGAGTGAGATCGATTTGATAATGATAAAATTGAATCTCTTTTTCCAAATGAAATTTGTGTAGATTACAACTTAAGATATGTAATTGTTAGTTCAATTGATACTATTAAGGCGAGTGAATTGATTTTAAAAAGGTTTTATGATGACTAATAGAAAAAATGAGTATAATTGAATTAGAGTATTTTGATTTTATTAACAAGGTTTATATCTATTATCTCAGCTTTTCGTTGTTAAAGATTTTTTTCTATTCAAATTCGCATATTTAAATTCGAACCTTTGAAGACAATATTTAATCTTATAACTCCCATATGATTTTTACCCAAACCTTGAGACACAATCACTTGAGATTTATACCCAAACATCCCATGAAAAAAATATGTAACATCCCTAACTTTTAAAATACAAATTCGATCAATCGAATATGATTTTTATTTTATTTTATTTGATATGCTTTTTGAAATTTAAAAGTATTTAATTCATTTTCTATGAAATCCAACTTCTCAAATATGGTATCGAATAATTATACAAATTATTTTATATTAAGAATATTATAATAATTTTTAATACCGCGTGGATATTTCGAAAATAATATCAAATATCAAGTCAAGTTTTAACGAGGATTATTATTACAAGTATCTGTGTACTCGATTTGTTATTAAAATGAATTTATTGATATATATATATATATATATATATATATATATGTGTGTGTGTGAAGTATTTTATATCGAGTGGATGCCTTGTATTTATTTTGGTGATACTGAGTTATGAAATCAAGGTGATTTGTTTGGTTTACGTAAATGTGTATAATCGATTTTACAAGTCAAAAGTAATTTATATACGATTATGCTCGATTTTTAATTGGATAATTTAAAATAATAAATGTTATTTTTATTATGAATATTTAAACCAAATTAAGGACTAAATCAAAATATCTGAAACTGTTAAGCCATAATTAAAACTGTATTGAAATTAGTCGACAAGGACAAAATCTTGTGATACTTGGAGGATTGCTATTTCCATTTTCTTACTTTCCCTCTCCCAACTATCCCAAAATCGACATAGTTTTGGGTGGAATATACTAAAACCCTTTCTTCTGTATTCCCCCCCCCCCCAATAATTTTCCTCATTTCTCACTTGAAGGCTTCTTCTCCAGTCTAATGCTTTCTCCCACTAGTGCTGTGCAGAGAACCATGGGAGCTTCACCGACCGATCATCAGTCACCGTCGGAGGTAATCAGCACAAATTGAGGGTAAAAGCTGTATATCACCCCTCAACTTGAGAGAGAGTGATTAATTAGTTGATTTGTTACGTTAGTTAGCAGTAGATAGAGAAGCGGTTAGATTGGCTGTAAAGTTATATATAAAAATAGGATTCATTATAATCAATCCTTTTGCAGTACAATAAATGAATTTTCACCATTAAATACAGTTTGTTCCTTTTAAAAGTTATTTGTTATATCCTTGGGGGTTTCGTTCACAATTTCTCTAACACGTTCGCCATATTCTCTGCAACCATTCAAGTCCTTTGTCTCATATCCTCTGCAGTCACTCTAGTCCTCTGTTATATCTTTCCTACTCACTCTAACTCACAGCCATATCCTCCAATGTTGTTAACACTTGCATCGACACAATTAGAAAACTACTCCAAATTGCTCTCATGAAATGAAGAAATGATATTATGAATAAAATCAATGAAAACATTAAAGGGTGAAATAAAAAAAAGTATAATGACAAAAAATTTACTAATATTTGATTAAATATTCGCTTTGAATTTTATTCTTTTGTGGAACACTTTGGCCCCAACTTTTCTTTTTATGTTAAAATGACCCTGGTTGAACAAGAAATTATTAATTAACTAACAGTCAATTTTCTTCACTAACATAGCAAGCCCTATGTGTCCAAAGTATTAACATGTCATGTGTACATGAGTGACTAAGTGACATGTGTTGTGTGTCCAAAGTGATAGTGTAGAACATGTCACATCATCATTTTAGACACATATCTTATCATATCATTGAAAATCAATTGTTGGTAGTTAACTAACGATCTTCGTACAATCAAAGATCATTTATTTTTAAAATAAAACGTTGGGATTCAAAGTGTTAAAAAATATAGAGACTAAAGTGAATATTTAATTAAACATTAGAGATATTATTTTTTTCTAATAAAATATTAAGGAATTGAAAATAAAATATTAAGGAATTGTTGCCGAGGAATGGAACAACTTGGTCTATGTTTTCTGCCTCTCTAACCTGGCAAATTTGGAAACGAAGAAATGATATGTAGTTCAAAGGTGCCTCTCTGCCTTTACCCGGTGTTCTTCAATGTGCTGATCAATGGGCGAAGTATCACGGCCTTGCAATTTTACCCCCATCGTCCACTTACAAAACGGCTGTGGTCAACGCTATTTGGAAAAAACCTGCTTCAGGTTGGATGTGCCTCAACTCGGATGGTGGCGTTCACTCATCGACTGGTCTCGGATCCTCGGGAGGAGTTATCAGGAATGATGAAGGCTCTTGGATCTATGGTTTCAACAAAAATGTCGGTCACAACTCAATTCTACAGGCTGAGCTCTGGGGCATTTATGAAGGCCTCCTCCTAGCTCGGAGTCTTGGTGTTGAGAGCCTGGAAATTCAAACTAATTGCTAGCAAGCAGTCAAGCTGCTCGAAGATAATATGGCACAGAACAGCCCAGTCTCCCTTGTTCGTTCCATCACTGCCTTGCGTAAACATGATGGAGCACTCGCCTCCGCTGGATTCCTCGTTCTGCGAATGCTTTAGCCGACAAACTAGCAAAAATGGCTCCGCCCACTGTGACCCAAATGGAGCTTTATGCAACGCCCCCACCTGTTTTAATTAGATCCTCTCTTATCCACTGATGTAAGAGGAGCTTCCTCACTGCCTGTAGTCTCAGCCTAACTTTGCATGGCTTCCTTATTATTAAAAAAGAAGAAGAAGCATTCCAACTCTTTACATCTTATGTTGCCGATTCCCATAAATGATTTGAAAACCAGGTAAGGGAAAGAGATTTAGATTCGGCAGTTTGGTTGATAATATGTTATATATATATATATATTAAATGAACAAAGTTCATTTACGTCAAAGACATTGATCTCATTAACCTGAGTTTTATTTACTTCAAAGATAATTTTTAGTTTATTCAATTGAAATTGTTTAATAAAATTAATTATATAAAATAAATTTAAAATATACTTTTTATTCACGTATAATAAAATACTTTTATTGTAGTGTTATTGTGTTGCGTTAGCATCCAATGTCATGTAGATTTGTCATGTCAGTTCTATATGTTGATTGTTATTCAACTAATAATATTTATCTATGAATCTATTTAGTGGCCTCAGTGGTTAAAGGGAGGAGTGTTCCATCCCTAGAGATCCTCGATTCGAGCAACTATATAAGGACTCTAGTATACTGTGATGTGTGATTTGATCGAAATCCTTATTTTACAAATTAGGAATGAGAAACTGTGAACAAATACTATTTGTAATTACCCCAGACTATTAAAAAATAATAATTTTCTTCTAAAAATAATAATTTTCTTCTATATAAGGGCCACTTTAATAAAAAAAATATAATGTTAAATGCTAAATTATTTCAGTAAAAGAACATAGATCAAGATAATTATTCAATGAAACATTATAATATATTTTAACATTATATCATAAACTAAAATTTTAGAGTCATAAGAGGTAAAAAAAAGTTTAATGGTTAAAATATATCATTAGATCTAAAGTTTAAATGAAAACATATGGTACACTGCCTATTTGGTCACATATCTATTACTTAGTTTCTGATTTAGTTGTACAATTATTTTTTTTCAAAATACTAACGTTATATATTTTTTCAAAATACTAACGTTATGTTTTTTATTCTGTTTTAGTCATGTATCATTAAAATATTAATGGTTATGTTGGCGTGACATTTTTTATTTTTCAATGCTAATGTGACATCACCTTATGATGACACATTAACATTACCATTAACTTTTAAATGACAAGTGATCAAAACAGAACAAAAAAAAAAGTAACGTAAGATATGATTTTGAAAAAATAATAGTCGGGTGATCAAACAGAAACTAAATAATAGATAGATGACCAAATAAGTAGTTTAACCAAAACAATAATGAAAAGTGAAAAACATTTAGTAAAAAAATGAAGAATTCAATAAATATGTATTTGAGGCCCTATTTACAGCCCAAGAGCAACAAGCGATGAATTTAAACATTTATTTGTATATGTGAGAAAGCTCTACAACTGGCCCATTCTACATATCCAAAACCTAAAACCCTCCTCCTTCCTCCCTCCTTTCATTTTTTGTTTCAATTCTCTTGCTTTCTTCTTCATCCCTTCGGGTTTTTCTGAGTTTCGATCAACTCACAGGAATACAGTATGACTTCACTTGCCATCAGATGTGCAAAGCTCCTTAGAGTATCTGTTTCTACAACACCCACCTCTTCTCTAGGTCTCTCTCTCTCTCTCTCTCTCCCTCTCTCTCTTTTTACGTTTATGGTTATGACTATGAAATTAAACGTTTTGATGTAGGCGCTGTTTTCATTTTGTTCTTTAAACTTTTAGGGCTGGCATTACCCAGAAAAAAAGATTTAGCTTTCTTTGTAATGATGTAAACTAACTATGCTGATCAATGTTGGTTCTTTCAGCAATTTTACCAAACAGTTGATGTGTATGACAGAATTTTTATGGAATGTCATTGGTAACTTTGTTAATGAAAATGTTGTAGTCGAGGGTGTGCGACGTACCTCCAAGATGTGGTATTCAACAGGTTCGGTTGATGATTCTGAAGATGATGACTGGGTAACCAAAGAGGCTGATGATGCTTTGAGTTTCAAGCCAGACAGGCGTGAGCCACGGCCCCAAGGTGTCAGTCCTGGAAAGGGTTGGGATTTTCGTGGTGTACACAAGGTATAATAGCCTCTTGGTAGTTTTTTAATCAGTGAGAACTTCGTGGCGAATGAATATATAGCAACATTTGTTACTGCAAAACTTGGATTCTAGATATGATTATTTCCTTTAATCAGTAAAGGTGGTATGTGCACATGTTTCCCCGTTTGTCTTTTCTGTTACCTTTGAATGGGGATTTAAACAAGTATTTTGTATTCTTACAGGCAATTATATGTGGGAAAGTTGGGCAAGCCCCCGTGCAGAAGATATTGAGAAATGGAAGAACTGTGACTATATTTACAGTTGGAACAGGTGGTATGTATGACCAGAGAATCATACGGGACCAAAACACACCAAAACCTGCCCAATGGCATCGAATTGCTGTGCATAATGATACACTTGGGGCATATGCAGTTCAACAAATCACTAAAAAGTAACGTATTCATACTTGATACAATCTAAATTCGGATTATCTAAGAAAATGGCACCATGCTTATGCGCGGGAGGAATGTATTTTTGATGCAGCTCTCAAGTCTTTGTTGAGGGTGATATTGAGACCAGAGTTTACAATGACAGCATAAATGGTGAAGTTAAATATGTACCAGAAATATGTATCCGCCGTGATGGTATGTGGCTTTTTATGCCATTATTTATCTCCCTTGACACGCATTTTATTGTTTTAGGACGCATGCTTTTTGGTTTTTTTATCTTAACGAGTTTATCAATTTTGGTGGCATTGTCGTTGTTGTGACATTTTTACCTTATAATTTCTCCCTGTAGGAAGAATTCGCCTTATAAAGCCTGGTCCAGGTGTTAACAATATATCCTTTGATGACCTGAGTAAGTTTTCTTTGTAATTTTTCCTTTGAATTATGACTGATTGCTTACCTTCCCTTCCTTTCAAATTTTGATCGATAATTTCTGTAAAGATGGAATAAATAAATCACCCTTGCTGAAAGTGGCATGTTGATCCTAAAGTTATTGAAACTACTAGTAAAGGACATAATGATAATAAATCACCATATGGGCTAGAGTTGTAAATGAGTCGAGCTTGAACGAACAAACATAGCCCATGTTCATTTGTTTATTTTTAATTTTGTGTTCAGTTTATGTTCGTTAAAAATTTCAAAACTGCGTTTTTGTTTATTTATTTAAAATTATGTGTGTTCGTTTCTTTAATCTATGCGAACATGTTTGTGAACTAAAAAAATATGTTTGCCAATATTATAAGAACATGTTCATGAATACGTTTGTAAATATATAATTGAACATGTTTGCGAACAATTAGAAGTTAGGTTATGAATAATAAACAAACCATAAATAAACATATTTCTTATATTTTAGATGTAAAATAATCTTATTTATTTAGATTTATAAATGAACAATGGTTAAGAGATGATTGTTATCCTTAGAGGTTCCAAGTTCAAGCACGATGTCTGCAAGGATGTTTGAGCGTTCATTGTCAAATGGTTGAGAGTTTTTCAAACAGATGTTACCTTATAATCACCTTAGACTAATAAAAAAAAAGGATTGATAAGCGAACAATATACTAATGGTTTATGAGTAGTTCAGGTATCTCTTTGTTCATTTACAGCCCTGCTCAGCTAGCTTGTACCTTCTACATATTTGATCTTCTGATTGATGCACTTGACTGATTTTGGCAGGTGAGGGATTGGTGTAGTCTGACCTATAAGGGCACATAGTGAGAAACGTTTCACCGAAAATGGGAGCAGCGGAAACTTCTAACTTTATATAAAAAGAAATATTCAACTTTCTTATGCTTTCTGGTGATCGAGGCAAGATGAAAGTAATTCTTAGTTCATTTTGTTTTAAACCATATGACTTTGGATCAACTTTGGTATTCTTGCCTTCTCTTGTTTCTTCCTATCATTGGAGGAATTGAGAATGTAATTTTAACCTATTTGGCATCTTCTTTCCAGTATTGTTCAATGTTGCAATATCATGGGCGAAAGTCTAAAAAAAAAAGCAGCTTAATTTAAGAAACGGTAAAAATCGGTGCGATAGAAAAAAAATATTATCAAAAAGCATAACTTTTTAGCACGTAACTTAAATGATATTTTCTTTGTAACATTTTCAATTGAATTTAAAATATTACAAGAAAGATAATATTTTCGATTGGTAATGAAAAATGTTAAACTTAAAATATTGTATTTTTTATAACATATTCAATCGCATTTATTTTTGTCGTTTTTAGCCTTAATTTATTATTAAATTATTAGGTTGTATTGTAGAATTTACCCATGTCATGGTCTTGCGACGAAGTCACAAATCTCATCACTTTTAACCTAAGACAGCTTTTGTGTTATTCATGAGACCCAAAGAGTTTGAAGTGGATGTTACTTTGCAGGTTTGGTTTGTGTAAGTTGCGAAATTGATACCAATAGATAATATCCGTTGAAGTCTATTAGAAATTTCCGTATTGTATTTAAAGGTTTATTATAGATTTTTTTTCTAAATTAGGTACTTTTTTTTTTTTATCAATATAGGTGTTTAGAATTATCATTTTAAATGAGTTTAATATAAAAATAAGTGTTCAAATTATATCATGTTAGTTTTAGGTATCTAAAGAATTTTTCATTCAAAGCATGTCTCTAGTATTTTATTCGTTATACTTTTAGGTGCTTATCTCGGAACGACCGTTAAGAAATTTGTTTAAATGCCATATGTCAATGTTATATTTTTCTGAAATTTTTATTTTTAAAAAAAATAAAATAAAAACCCTCGATGTATCTGTAACACCCATTTCTCATATACGTTTCTATATACAAGTCACAGGTGTCACATGACCCTTAAAACATTTCCGTATTTGTAAACCAATAAAATTTTGTTTCTATAAATAAAACATTTTAATGTAATAATAATAATAAAACATCTATAATATCAGTTGCAATCCTTACTCTGCTCGTACTAATACCTATGCGTGGAACCAACACACTCCAAGTTTTCACTTAGTGAGACATAATAATATAAATGAAGTGTAACCAATATATAAGCATATCATAAACTATCAAAATACGAATTAAATCGTACAAATCATAATAATACTTAAAACTGCCCTAGTAAACCAAGTTTCTTGCACATAACCAGTAAAACTATATTTCGTATGCCCAACATACCTATCAATCAAAAATTTTTCAAATTATCCTTTTTATTTGCCCAATGTATGTTGAATGAGAATGCAATGTACATGAGTTGCACCTAAGTGCCAAAATGATAATTTACAAACTCATCATGAATTCCATGAATGCACACATAATGCTGAAATGATCATTCATAAACTCATTATGAATATCATGAGTGCACACATAGTACCAAAAGTATATATAGTACTGATGCGAAAATGCAACATATGCATTAAACAAAAGCGATCGATAATCATCATACGAAAATGCAACTTATGCATTAAATAAAATCGATCGATAGTCATCATACACAAACTATGTCGAAATGTATCTATGAACCTCAATGCACATACAATGGGCCTTTAAGTTAAATTCGCAATTTAAACATTTATTTTTGAAACATCGATAACTGTTAAAACAATATAAAAGTTCATCCATTCATTTCAGAGCAGTTCATACTCTAAAATTATTCGTAAAATCATTTCCATAAACATTATTAAAAATATATCAAAATACTGTAAAATTTACTACTTTATCCTTGCATTTCTGTTTGCTTGACTCAGGAGCTTGATTACGATATACACAAACATCCATAATCACACATACAATACAAATGTTAGTATATTTTCTAACATTTATACAAAATAATAATACTCAAACGTACTATTATTTTCGAATTCTATTAAAAATTCATCATAATTTAAAATTTCAGACTGAATAGTATCGGTACCCCCTCCTATAGTATTGATATTTCCCTTATATGGTACCGATACCCACTTCGGTATCGATACCATTATAGCATTATGGAATTTTATTTTTGATTACGGTATCGATACCTACACCTTAGTATCGGTACTTCTTTAAATCGTTATCGATATTGTTCATCCGAATCCTTCAATTTAACCTTATAGTAACGGTATTGTTCTTCCAGTACCAATACCCTTACCCAGATTTTACTTATTTCACTTCGATTTTTACTCAAATTTCATCTAAATCTCTTACTCTTATCTCCAATCATACCATTAAACTCATTATCACTTATTCATACTAACTTACATCCATAAATCTCCTTATAACATCCAAAATCTCAAAACTAATCACCCCAAATTTTCAAACATGTTTTCAATCACTTCTAAGGCTCCAAATTTCTTATTTACATCTTTGACAAGTTAAAAATGCTTTTAAACTCCAATAACTGACCATATTTCATCGAATCATTTAAAAACTCATTTTATTAAACCACTAATAAGTCAATAATCTCTTAGTTTTATTCATTCTTAAGCTTTTCTTAAGCTTCTATATCACTTAAGGCTTTAAAACCAATCCCAAAACGAAAAGAAAAACCAACTTGAAGAAATCTTACCTTTGCTAGAGGGAGTACGAGAACGAGAAGAAGAAGAGAGTAGAGAACCACAGTCAGACTTATCCCTTTTTCATTACAACCCTTAATAAATATCACTAAAGAATGAATATTAAATTCATTTCCTTCTAAAGGATCATGATGCCCCTCCATTATTTCATTCTTAATAATAAGTCTTAAACATAATTTCTTAATTCAATCATTGTACTTTTCAATTTATTTAAAATAACCCACCAATTTTTAATTCTTTTCACTATAGTAACTGATCCGATGTTTGAGGTATTACATTGTCATTCCTTCCTGCCCTCTTATAACTGTTGTTGGCATCATCGGCCGATCATTGTTGCACATGCATGTGCTTTCTTTCTTGTTTCTTAATAACAAGGGTGATGATTGGATAATAGACGATCGAGACGAATGAATAAGCGCTCGACGATGGATAGATGATCTGAGATGTTCGCAACTGAAATAAAAAGGAGTAGAATAAGAAATTTTAAGAATTTGGTATCTTTACATTTTAAAAGAATTGGATTTTTCTCCAAATAATAATTTTACGATTTTATAAATAATTTTAAAATATATATATATATATATATGTGTGTGTGTGAAACATGTCATATAACGATTTTTTTAACAGACGTGATGGATTAGACACTTAAACTGGTAGTATTTGTAACGTTAGACACCTACATTGATCGTCAAAAAGTTTAAATACCTAAATATTCTATATATTAGTAACATTTTAGGTTTCGATACTTTTGCTCTAAGTTTCAAAACTTACTAAGCAAACCTAAAATGTTATATATATTTGTAACATTTTAGGTTCGATTGGTAAGTATAGAAACTTATTCTCTGAGATTCGATATTTATAATTTTTCAACCTAAAGTATTAGCAACATATATAACATTTTAAGTTTGTTTGGTAAGTATCTAAATTCAGAGTCAAAGTTCTGATACTTATCGTGAAATATTTAATCTTGGAAGATAAAAACTCATGCAAAAATTTTAGTTGAAACCTGAAACGTTATCAACACCAATGTAAGATGTATGTTTAGTATGATTTCAGGTTATAATCTAAAATACTTTCAGTATTAAGTTGAAATCAATTTAAAAATTTAGATAACATTTAAGGTTTGCATGAATAATATTTTAGATTTACATTCAGTACCAAAACACATTCTGTTACCCATCGAAAATGTTTAAAAAAATTATAAACTTAATAATATTTTCAGTTGTACTACTTAAAAAGTTACTCCACTTAAAAATATTTTCTATTAGTTGTAAATTCTACGATTGATAGTGATACGATATTAACTACTTTTATTAGGCCTCCAATTTTTTGAAAACTCTCTTAGTCCCTCAAGATTTTTTAAAAAAATTATTAGACTTACAATTTTTAGAAATTTTAATTTGACCCCTAAATTGTTTTACCATGATTCTGTTGATTCTTTCCCTAAAACCTTATTGTGAAAGAGATCTCAACATTTTAGGCATATGAAGCTCTCTAACAGCTTTTTTAAGGCCTGCTTCTTGATGGCATCATTCTCCCTCTCATAAAAAAAGAACATGGACGCGAAAGAGCGACTATTGGTCGGCAAAACAGGCAATGTAAACTCAAGCAGAAAGGAAGTTGAAAATAGATATATACACTGCTCAGTCTTCACTTTTACTTGCAAAATTTATGCGGTTAGCAATCAATTCTATCACAAATATCTCTCCGATAGCATCTTTGTTCGGAATTGGTCAACAAAACAGGCAATGTAAACTCACAAATATCTATCAGATAGCATAAATCTTTGTCCGGAGTTGGTCGGTAAAACAACCAACGTAAACTCGCAGACAATAATGGCAAAAGAACACCTAACTCTATTTCTACCTTGATTCTTACGCACATCTATTGTAATCAACAGGTAATGAGAAACCAAGCAAGCTCAATGTGCTAGGAAAAAAAACATACATGGTATTTACTTTGTTACCGGACAGGATGTTATGCGATCACTGTGGGTATGCTTGGCCTTTTTCCTTCCATGGCATCTTTCTTTTTTCGACAGTTGGTGCAGAGATAGGGTTCTTCCCATGGCTTTGAACCAGGTGAGAAAAAAGGCACAGAGTTCAGAGTTAAACCCTCGGACGGAGGTTGATCAAATTGACAGACTGCACATCTGAAGATTCCGGAGTCTGCAGCATTCATGGGGAAATCCTTACCCAACCTGCAAAATTTATCATAAGATTCTTTTGAATTAGGGCGTGCTCTTTTATATTTTTTCTAATAAAAAGAGAGACTGAACTATTTTAAAAACCTTCATTATGCTTTCCCTGCAATGAGATATCCATTCAAACAACTTAATTGAAGATCCGTTTTCCAAGTAATTACAGCAGTACTTTTGTCAAAGAAACCGGCATTTCGGGGTAAATTTGATAGGAAACTAGGAGAAACTAGTCAAAATTGTTGCTAGTAGCATGTCAGATTGTAGGCCAGGGATTCAAATAGCGGTCCAATAGCAGTGTCGCAGCCATTAATTTCACTGTAACGGCACCCACTGCAGCCACAAAACCATCAAATAATGGTGTGGAACAAATATGGAACCAGTAGTGGTGCATAGCGACAATGAAAAAATGCTTTAGTGGCAATAGCGGACCACAATTACCTGCGTCACATTTTTTTTTAAAAATATTATTAAAAATGGTTTTTATACTTGTAATTATAATAGTTATGTTTTACAATAAGTTGTATGAATTAGGAAAAAATTTCTCGACCTCAATGCCTGCAATGACCGCAATAGCATCGTTATAGCAGTGATTGCAATAAACGCAATACAACAAAAAAGGTGATCACAAACCAATTTCAATCCCTGTTGTTGAACGCAAATAAATGATCCATAATCTTTTCCACACGCATTTACACCAAACATGAATATTATAAAGCAACAAGGAAATTAAAAAATAAAAACAATTAGAACTTAAAAGAGCAGAGGAAAATTCTAACGAACGAACCTTTCAGCAAGCATGGCAGAACCCTCTTCAAACAGCTCCTCAACAACTCCAATGGCAGAAAGTTTATTAGTAGTCTTGTTCGTAAAATTTAGAGATCTCTTCCTGAAAAGAATAGAACTGAGCATATTCTGCTTCTTTCTTGGAGTTGAAGGTAGGACCGGTTGGTCAGATTGGATAATATCAACAACCAGGCAGGTTGTATCATCTTTCAGGCCCCTTGACCTCAAAGCTTCCTAAAAGACGTGTTATAACCACGATTAAATAGCAAAGCAAATTGAGTGGATAATACAAGTAAGAAACACCAGTCAGGTTATTACCTTCACAACCATCTTTGCTGCAAGGTCTGCTGGTAAACCTCGACAAGACTTGGCAGCCATTTCCGAAGACAAAGCATCCCAAATACCATCTGAAGCAATAATAAGTCGACCTCCAGCGTTTGACAGCTAAGTTAAACCAGAAAAAAAGTCAGGTTTGATTGTTTAGAAGAAAACTATTAAATGCATTAGCCATGAGAATGAAGATGTAACCTTCACTTGCTTAACATGTGGTATCGGGACGATAAACTCTCCTACATCCGTGTCACCAATTGACCTAGAGAGGCATAATCCACCAGGCCAGCAACGAAGTGGACCAACCTAACAGATTCAAACCATAAAGAATAGGAGGTATACACATTCATAACCATCATAAACAACCCATTCCATGACTTCTAATTCCTACCACTAAAAAAAGATGGATAGAAACTTCTCATGTTGTAAAGTAAAATACCTCATTACCCCCGAAAACATTAAGCCTTCCTACTTCACCACCACTGGCAGTGACACGCTCCCTTTCTTCTGCATTCTCTTCTAGCCTGTGATCAACAGTCAGGAGAAAAACAATGCCCCCTTGGGTGTCTAATATACATCGAGAATCACCAACGGATGCAACAGTGATAGTCCATCCATCAATCACAACAAATGTAACCGTCGTCCCAGAAGTTTCCCCTGTCATCAACATAAATAAGAAGACAGATAAGTAAGCTCGCAGCAGAATTTGACCGCCTGAAAACGAATGTGATGACCCAAATTGAATAAGTACCTCTCTGCTGAAATTCAATGTCTGTTTTCACAAAACCTGCAACCAAAGCCCGAGGAAGGGCTCGAAGCCACTCCTCCCTACTGACACCTTGTGGTATTGCACCCAAGACGTTACCCAATAAATTCTCCTTTGCAAAAATGGCAGCTGATATACCATTATGACCATCAAAGATCTGCCAACATAACCAATCTTAGGAATCTTCAGAAGGATCAAAAGTATTGTCAAATTTACATTTATCAACTTGATCGGTAACGGAGGAAAGAAGAAAAATCACAAGAGACTGGTTCTCATTTTTATGTGTACAAATCAAACAATATCATGCATTGACCAAAGTTCAACTCGGAATCTCTTTCTTCCCACAATACAATTCAATTTCTCCTGTGTTTGTTCATCATTTCTTCAAAACCAAACAAGACTTCATGTTTGAAAGAGGAAGGGAGAGAGTACCGCAAATACTGAAAAAGGCGTTTCCGGATTCCCAGGAACCCTCTGACAATCAGGTTTAACCAGAAAGTAATCTTCTCCTTTTTTGGCCAAAGCAGCCTGCCCGAACTTCACAAAAGGCTTCTCAACATTCTCGTTCCTCAGTTCACGGCCGATTAAGGTTGCAAGTGGAACAAGAGGTGGCTTCATCCTCAATACTTCAGTCCGGCTCATGTTAGAATAGGTATCAACATTTCTAGAAGACAATGATGAATACCTAGCAATCCAATTGAAACTATACAAGTCATAAAACATTAACAATCTTACAATCTATATACCTCATTAGTATCCTTTAAAACACAATTTTTTCAATCATAAAGCCAAAAAGTGAATCAAATTGATCAAAAGATGCCCACAGTTTCCTCATTTCTATACATCATTCAAAATGGCAGACAAAGCCAGATGGATTAAACTGCAAAAAGGGATGAATATAGGATAGTCTCAAGATTTAACATTTCCTAAAGCTTACTGCAAACACACACACACGCACACAACCCCATAAACTGATCTGAAATTTTCTCCACATAAATTCACGTTTATTGAACTTTACACTTATCCCCAGAAAGCAATGACAACGATAAAGAAAGAAATGAATCAAACAAAGACAATGCATAAAACTTTAAAATAAGTGAACTCAAAAACACTCTTAATACATCAATCTACGAAAAAAGTGAAATTAAACAAAATCTAAACCAAGCCCATTTCAACCGTTTGATGAAAAACCCAGAATTCAGTTCAAGATCCAAAAGAGAAATAAAGGTGGGAAATGAACAGCCAAAAACTCCTCAAAAAGTGAAAGAAGCCCAAAAAGGAGTTCACAGTTGAAAGATGAGCAAAGAGAAACCTCAGATCGAGCTGATATGGACATTCATTGGGCGTCTATTCATATATCTGCATGCATAAACAAAACACTCTTCCCTTGTTTTTCTTGGTTCCGAAAATCAAAGCTCAAAAACTAGAGAGAGAGATGGGAGAGTTCATAGAGATTTGATTGGAAGGGAAATCTAGAGATAGAAACGCGGGGTTCAGGTGCTGATTTTTTGACAAAACTCTTTGATAATGACATTTATGTCCCAAATCTTAATATTTACATGGAAAAATACCTCTAAAAAAACAAAACAGCTTCCCTAATAAATTACTTTTAAATATTATATTTTTAATTTGAATAAACTATTTATTTAGTCACTTTGTTTCATTTATTATCATTTAACTATTTTTTAAAATCACATTATGTTGCGTTTCTATTTTGGTCATCCCTCCTTAGGTATACTTAACGAAAATGGTGATTGACATAGTATAATAACGATTTTAGTCCTCAAAACTTGCATATTCTATCAAATTTGTCATAATTCAAAATAATTTAATAAATCAATAATATTTAAAAATTCTATCAATTTGTCCCTATTTTGGTATGAAATAATCTAATAATTCAATAAACTTAATCATCTAATAAGATGATGACATGTGTCAAAAGTTAAGTGAATTCAATTCGAATGAAGAGTTATAGTTCTTTTAAAATTAAGGATTAAATCTGATTAGATAGCACGTTCGAGGGTAAATTCTATGAAACCTGAAATTTTGTTTCTTTTGAAACGTTGTACCCTATCTCAAAACCTTAACCGCTCGTCACTCACTCACTTCTCCCAAAAACCCACCGTCAGTCGCTCCTTTTCACCGATCGTTCACCACCAAAAACGGCATTCGTCATAAACCCCTTTGTCGATTAAGGACTATACAACCCCTTCGAATACCAAACATCTTTTCAAACCTTATCCCCTATCCCAAAACCCTAGCTAGACGACTCTTCTCGTTGATCATTTAGCACTACAAATGACATTTGTCACAAATTGCTTTGCAGATGGGATTTACGCAAAACCAATGAATCTCAAACATCATTTGAAACCTTATCCCCTATCTTAAAACCCTAGCCAATTGCCCCTCATCACCCACCATTCAATACTAGAAAAGTTGTTAATCATGAATCCCTTTATTTATTGAGGACTATCAACCCCAACGAATCCCAAACATTTTTCGAACTTTATTCCTTATTTCGAAACCCTAGGTACTCGTTACTCCCTCCTTTATTCTGAAAACTCACCGTGGATCGCCCCTCCTCGCCAGCCGTTCAACACTCGAAACATCGTATGTCACAAACCCCATCACTAATGTCGAATTATGAAATTATTTCAAATTAAAATGATGATCAATTTGATAGAATTTTAAAATATTGAAAATTTTCTGAATTATTTCAACTTAAGATCAAATTGATACAATGTATAAGTTTTAGAGACTAAAATTGTTATTGTATTATGTCACATCATCATTTCTTTTAAGACAATGTTTAAATCTAACGAGAAGTGATGAAAATAAAAATAAAATGTAACGTAAAAAGAAGTTAGATGACAAAAAAATGTTGGAATAGTTTGGTGGCCAAATAGGTCGTTTACCCTTTTAGTTTTTAAGTTTTAAAGATCTTGCCCTTTTACGTTAAGTTAGTGAAAATCCCATCTACCATATAATTTGTTATTTAACCGTGTTTAGTGAACTTACCCAAATTTTTGACCAAAATCAATTTAATTAATTGAAAAATTCTACTATGCTTGTATAGTATAGATGAGCACCGTTATCGATGAGCACCGTTAACGATGAGAACCATTAAATTAATTTATAAAATGTTAAATTATAAAGTACTAAATGTATAATTGTAAATTAGTTAAAAATCTAAATGTAATTTAATTAAAATATAATATTTATAAAATAATAGTTTTAGGGTAAACTATATCATTGACCACTTAACTATTTACCCTTTTTACTTTAACCATTGATTTTTCAATTTTGTTAATTGGGACACCTAACTATTTAAATATTGTCAATCAAGCCACCAGCCGTTAAATATTTTTTTTAATATTTTTATCTAATTTAATAATTTTCATCCAATCAAATGGTGCCACGTGTCACCAATGGAATGAATTGAAAATAAATTAATTCAATAACTATTACTAGTGTTGTTTGAACCCAAGACGCGAGGAAATGAAGCAAAAGCCCCAACCACTAGACTGCACCATTCAAATCACAAACATATCACAACATAATATATATAGTTAATGGCAATAAATAAATCAAAATGACCTAATAAGAATTTCAACATGGAATAATTGAATAATGATAATATGATATATATATATATATACACACACAAAAAAATATTATAACTGATTAATATGTGAATGTATTTTATTTATATTTTAAATCATTTTAATGAAAAATAAAAAAATTAATATATTACAATTGAAAAATAACGAAGAGCTTCATTGACTTAGAATTTTCATGATAGTTGAGGGCTTATCGTAGTAAGCATTTTAATTTATGCATTGACTTGTTTATATTCCGGTTAAAGTAAGAATTTTATATTTTATTATATATTCATTATATATTTGAAGAAAATTTTAGGGGAAACTTTATTTTATTGAATTAGTCTATTTTAATATAGAGTTGTTAAATAAGATTATAATCCGATCGATGTTATAATATTTTAAAATATAAGACATGGTACATTTCAGTTCAATAAAATTAGAATAATGAAGACAATTTACTAATTTAAAATATGTTAAATGATACATTTCAATTATAACATATTAAATTCAATTTTTTTTGCATTAAATGTGATTTAAAATATAAATAAACATATACATTTATTAATCAATTATAATATTTGTTTATATATATATTATATTTTCATACTATTCAAATATTCTATGTTTGAGTCCTTATAAGGTCATTTATTACCATTAATTATATTATAAATTATACAAATTTAGTGGTCCATCTTAGTGATTAGAGTGCTTAGTTTTTCGGCTTGCGTCCCAGGTTCAAACCCCACCATCATCGATTATTGATTGAATGAAAAAATTATTAAATAAAAAATATTAAAAATTCCAATCACACAGTGACATATGTCACTATCATATTGAGGATTAAATTTATTGAATTAATTAAATGTTAGGATAAAATTAATAAAATGTGTAAGTAATGAGGACTAAATGTATAATTATACAAATTTTATTAACTGTCACGCCATCTCTTTCGTTAATATTTAACGACATGTGTCTTAATTGATAAGATTTAAATAGTTAGGTGACCCGATTAACAAAATTGAAAAATCAGTGGTTAAAGTAAAAAGGGTAAATAGTTCGATGGTCAATGAAATAGTTTACCCTAAAAACTAATAGTTTATAAATATTTTATTTTAATTAAATTACATTTAGATTTTTAACTAATTTATAATTATACGTTTAGTTATTTATAATTTAACGTTTTATCAATTAACTTAATGGTGTTCTCATTAACCATGTTCATCCGTGTTCGTCGAACTTGACATTATCATCCATTATTTATAAAGATATATATTAATAAAGTATCAATAAGATTTTCACTTAAAATTTTGATATTCTTTATTTTACGGTCGTTTTACCTTCGTTGTTATCTATTTTCGTTGTAACAAATATAAGATAGATTGTAAGTAGGTAAGTGAAACAAAGGCGAAAGTGGTTTTGACTTTTGATTTATTTTTCATCTTCTTATGGTCTATATAATAAAAGAAATTCTCCATCTAATTTTCTTGGTCCCAAAAAAAAATTGTGTTTAACTTCTTTTCTCATTCATTCACAGAGATTTGTTTTCTGTGTGCGTGTGTGTTTTTAATCTAATGGGAATTTGCTGTGTCTTGGCTGGCAATAAAATAAAGTGGGGTTGGGAGAGAAATGCAATGGAGGGCCATTTATTTATATTTCATTTTTTAATAAAAATATCTATTAAAGAAATGAATATAATAATGAAGGGCGAACAACTAAACTTTGTGGGAGCAGTTTGTCTTCTCTTTAATGGAGTTGAGTGGAACACACATGAAAAACTAAAGGAAAAATATTCAAGGCAATTGCTGACTTGGCCATGTGCTGATGGGACCTACTTACTCATCTAAACTCACGTGGCATGCTAAATGTATCAACATTCAACAAGCAAGTGGGTGATTGTTCAAATGTGGCTAAAATTTATAGTCTTCTATATGCCATTACTTAATTTCCAATCTCCAATTGGTTGCTTTTATTAATCAAGGAAGCATGGTATTCAAATATTCAATTCGGTTTTGCTATATGGGTTTATGTTTCTTTCCTTGGGCAAAATGAGTGGGTGATTAAGCTTAACTCCTACTCAAATGCATATATTTTCTTATTCTTCATGAAATCATGCCACACTTATGCCTTTGGAATATGTTCAAATTGCAGTTATTATTTTGGGTAAACTACGTATTCAGTCACCCAACTATCATTTTGGTTCCATTTTGGTCACCCAGCTATTTTTTTAAATCATACATAACTTTCGTTTTGGTCACCCGCCGTTAAAAAATAAATAGAACTGCTGACGTGATGATTTTTTTATTTTTTCAATGATGATGTTATATTATCTTATGGTGACACATCAGCATCACCATTAATTTTTTTAACGGTGGGTGACCAAAATGGAACCAAAATATAACTTTGGGTATGATTTTGAAAATAACAATAGTTGAGTGATCGAAACGAACTAAAGTGATAGTCGAGTCGCTAAATATGTAGTTTATCATTTTGTTTATTGGTAAATCTTTTCTTATAAAGTGAATGAGAATAAGGGCACGCCCTATTTGTAGGTAAACGTGCTTCAAATAATGGACAGTGGAAATGAGAGAAGTTATCTAAACTTACTGTTTAAAATAAATATGAGGCCATACAATCTAATTATTTGGGCAAGACACAGCTTCTATTTTCCAACTATTTTCAAACTTATTTGAATGTTTGCTTTTTCGTCCTCTTCAACAAAAAAAAAGTCATCTTTGATTTCTCCACACACATACACCTGTCTTGGATATCAAAGGATAAATATTGATGTTTGATGGTAAAGCCAAGATTGAATATTGAAAGTAATTAAATGATCAAACTTTAAAATATAAAGCTTTA